GGGCTGGGGGAGTGGAGTGTGTTGCTGTGGCAGAGGGGCTTGCAGGCTCAGCCCTGCCCCAAGGCAGCCAGCAGGACTGGCCACACCAAAGGTACCAAAAGACCCATTTACCCTGACTCCTGGAGGAGTGGGGCCAGGGTCCACTATAAGAGGGACTTGAGAGGCCCAGTGCCCCGGGTGGGCTGAAGCAGGCATCAGCCCTGTGCAGGGGCTTGGCCCTGACCCAGAGCCCTAGACCTGTGGCCACCTCCCCTTCCTGCTGCCCAGCCGCTCAGGTCTCAACTTGCGTAGTCTTGTCGGGCCCTGCAGTCTAGCCCTTCTGCAGAGCCTTGCCTGCCTGGGCCCCTGCACCTGATGCTTCTCCTTGTCTTGTGTAAATCTGAACCGTTTCATTTGTGTCTAGTTTAATTGTGGAAGAGTTTGTGTGCTCAAAGAATACATAGGGCCTACATCTGTGTTAAAAAGCGACCACAGTGGGCCATGTGCCAGGGTCAGGGCTGGGAGCCCTTGGTGACCTGCTTGTGTTTGTCTCCATCCTGACCTGTCAAGAGTTCCAATCTCCAGGGCCCTTGTAGATCCCACAGGACCCTGCAGAGCACTGTGCCTGGCTCCCACCCACAGCCCACTGGTACCTCCTTCCTGATGAACTGCTGGCCCTCCCCCTGGTCTCACCCTCAGAACCCCCAGAGGGATCCTGACCGAGAATCAGGCCCTGTCTGACTGTGATCCGTGGCCTTGTAGCAAATTGGAGCTGGAGAGAAGGCCATGTTGGCAGGGCTGGGAGCATCATGGAGGCTGACCTCAAAACCACTTGTCAGGGGGGCAGTGTGAATGTGAGCTCGGTCATCAGTAAACAAAGGGTCAGAGCAGATGGACAGTGGCTTGATGTAGACTCCAGGCAGGGGGTCCTTGGTCCACCCTGCCTGGTCCTCATTCCAGCCCCCATTGCTGTCTCTTCTTCTCGCCCACCTATGGCCCTGGCTTCTCCCCGGGCAGCACTGTTGCCCTATCCAGTGCCTGTTGCCATCTGTTCCTTGTCTGGGCACATGGTGGGATTTTCTTTGTCTCTGAGTGACCTCTTTGCCCAAACAGCACCAGGCACAGTGCAGGGGCTGGACAGAGGTTTAAAGAGACAAATCCTGTTCCATAGAGCCCTGGTGGGTGCTATGCAGCAGGGTCTCAAAGCAGTTTGCCCAGGACATGCTGTAGGAATGGCTGCTCCAGACTGGGCCTCTGGGGGCCCTAGCCCTGCACCCCTCCTACACACTAGTCAGTGGCAGTGCAGCCAGCCCTGCCTCCTGCTCCACATGGCAGCCCACACTATCCATTGGGCACTCAGGAGCCTTGGCCAGCTCCAGAGAGCCTGCAGGTGCCAAAGGCCGTGGGCCAGCAGGTGGTCTTAGGGTGGGTAGACGGGAAGTGCAGCCAGGCATGATCCAGAGGCTTCTGGAGCAGGCAAGGGGGTCAGTGAAGCCTGTGGGGACATTCCCCTGGGTACATGTGACACAGGGCCAACAGGAGGGGAAATTGAGGCAGCTGAGTTGAGTGATGCTGGATGTACCTGGCGGGACACGAGAGAGCATTGCCCACTGGGGGAATGTGATCTGAGGAGAGGGAGCGCCGTCCTGGTAGAAGAGCTTTGCTCCCACCTTCTTAGCTAGAGGGACAATTAGACACAATCCCCTGCCAGGGTGGTGGGGGCTACTCTCAGGGCTTTCATGCTGGGCAGTGGAGACCTTGGGTTGGGGCCAGCTACAGCTCAGAGACTAGTGAACATGTAAGATAGGAAGGAATGTGTGGACGCTGCAGCTTAAAATGGGTAGTCAGATAGGGGAAGTGAGCTGCGGGTGCCCAGCTTATAGCCGGGCCAGGTGAGGGCTAGGTGGGGAGGGCTGTTCCCACCCAGACTCCATGCAAGTGTCAGAGGCAAAGGCCTGAGGTCTTGGAGCAAGGTCCCTGCCTCCTGGCTGTGGCCTCTGTGCAGCCACTCGGTCTCAGGCGCAGTCCTTCTAGGGCGATATGGTGGTCAGGTGGGGCTGGAAGCTGGGTCTCAGATGGGCCTTCCTCATGGCCAGGCCTTCCTTCCAACCAAGGGGGAGGCCCCATGTGCTTCCAGGAGCAAGTGGGTGCCTGCTGGCTGGAGTAGGTGGGTGAGCTGCCAGGGGCACACTAGTAATAAGCAACCTCGCCCTGTGGAGGGAAGTGGGTCTGTCTGCTGAGTTATAATTACTTCTCTCTCCACGGTTGGTTTACTGGAGTGCAATTAGAAATTTTATTGTACCTGCATAATAATAACATTTAGGGGAACTAAAAAAACAGTCATGTAAAATCACTACAGGAAAATCTAATTGACAACTCATGATAGGGTGCACCCAGCCCAGTGCTCCTCTTGGAGAAAGGAGCAGAGAGGTTGGGGTCCTGGCCCTGTTGCCTCATCAGGGTCCTGTTTTTGTGGGCTTGAGTGCAGGGGGCTCATGCTAACCCAGGTAGGTGCCACAGGCACAACTATAGGGGTGCAGGCCCTGCAGAGGCTCCTTGCAGTCCGAACAGTAGCCTGAGACCCTGTAGCAGCTGCAGCCTCTTGACACTTTAGGGATAGTAGGAGCTAGTGTCCCCCAGGGTTGGGCTAAGTGGCAGGTGGTGCCTAAGATGCAGATCCCAGACTGTCATGAAGGCATCTCCTTGCCAAGGGGTCCTCGTCTGTTGCTGGGGTGATCAGAGCTAGTGGAGCTGTGCGTGGAGTGCTTAGTGGAGCCCTTTACACAAGTCCAACCTGCCACCATGACGGAGGCTCCAGACCTCCAGACCTCTCGTGAGCCCTCCAGGTCCTCCCACGGAACCCTGGAGCCCTGTGTAGCAACCCATGCCCTCCTGGAATCGCTCAGATACCGCTGGGGGTAGGACTCCTAGCTCAGGGTCTGCCATCCCTTAGGCCCTGGGGGGAAGGCAGGGGGCTGTGGGTGGCTTGCTGCTGTCTGCCTTGGCCCTGGATGGTAGCTGTAGCACCAACCCTGCAGGGTCAATATGGAGTCACTGCTGTGGGCGGCCGCAGCCCCAGAGGATCTGTGCTCCTGGTGGCCCAGGTGTGTGGTGGGCTAGCAAGGGCTCCTGCCCTGGGGCAGCCTGTAGTCAGGGTTCTTGGAGACAGATACTAGTGTGGTGGCATTGCTGTGGGGACTCCAAAACCAGCCAGATTCATGCCCTAAACAGCCAGCTGGACAGCAACGCTACCTGTCCAAGTTTGGGCGTTTGTCATGCCCTGTGAGTGCATAGGGCAAAGGATCACCTTTGCTCACAGTTGCACCAGAAGAGCCTCAGAACTGAGGCTGGGAATGTCCCCACAAGTGCCACTTGGGGTTCATCTCTGTTCTCTCAGGTGAGCGTGACTGAGTCCTGTGGGCACAGGGACATCTGGAGTCTCTCTTGTCCAGGGGCAAGGACCTGGGGTGGACTATTGTCCTCTGAATGTGCCTGAACCGAGGGGGGAGGTCAGTATAAAACAGGAATGAGGTCAGACCCAGGACCAGTGGAAATGGGCAAAGGAGCCAGTAGCAGTCTTTTTTTTTTTTTTTTTTTTCAAAACAAAGAAATGCCAAACCAGGTTCACAGGAAAATGTGGCTAATTCAGACCTTTTGTGGTTGGCAAGTTCATCTTTGCAGCCACATGTGAACAAGTGGGGTGGCTGGAAAGATGGCAGGGCCTGGGGTGTCCTGCACCCACATGGCTCCCCGCTGATTTCCCATCTGCTCACTCCTGTCTTGCGGCTTGTTTGGAAACCAGTCCCGGCCTGGCAGGGTCCTTGGAGCAGGTGTTTTGCAGTGCCTTCAGTTTGGCAGGAGTTGGCCCCTGGATTTGCTCAGGTTTTTGATCATACACAAGGTGCGCAGGGGATTGTCTGTGAATCTCAGTCCCCAAGCACAGGCAGCCCTCACCAGACCCAGCTGGGAGCAGGCAGTGACAGCAAAGCCCTGTGGCCATGTGTGGTCTGGAGAGAGCAGACACATAGACCAGGCCCATGTGTCAGATCCCAGAGCCATGCGGGCAGGATGGCACTCGGGTGCCCTGGGGGTTTTAGGGCATACTGTAGGAAGTGCTGTTGTGCAGCAGCAGGTCCTCCCACCTGGCACTGGCTGTGGCTGTCCTGGGAAATCAGGCTGGGCAGGAAGCTCAGCCTTGAAAAGCCTGCCAGCCCTGCTGCATGCCCTCCTGGCTCTGTGTCCACTCCTCCTCTGGGAGGGGTCTGTCCCTCTGTGGGCTCTACTCCCTGGCTGCTGCCTCCTGCAGCTTACACTGCATGTGCATCTCCGCTTCCCCTGCATGCCTGGCTGCAGGCTAGCATGAGGTGCTGATCGCTGCTGGGTACCCAGTGTGGAAGCTGGCACCCCGAGCCAGAAGTACCAGTGCTGTAGCAGGGCAGGGTGGCGCAGACTCGGGGCTGCACAAGGTACAGACCAGCTGGGACTCAGGAGATTTCCAGATAGCTGCTTATGAGGCACCTAGCAACTCCTGGGTCCTGCAACCCAAAGGGTGACGGCGGCTAGGGTCTCCATCCAGATCACAGCTACACAGTGTCACCTGGGGGTGTTTGCTGTGGGGCCTGGGTGTCACCTGGGGAGCACCTCCTGTGGAGTGTGACTGGGAAGGCTGCTGTGTGGTGTTAGGCACCTCTGGTCTCAGCGGCCTCTGAAGGGCAGCCCGGAAGGAAGGCAGTGCCCCATCTTGTACTCTAGGCTAGAGTTTGGCCTGTGTCCCATTGCTGGGACCTGGGGAACTTGCACAGCCACCCCCGAGTCATGGGGTACTACACGGCCATCTCCCTCAGACGTGGCCTCTTCAAGATGGAGGCTCCCTCCCTGAGGTGTGACCCCAGCCTGGGCACCTACTCAAGGGGTACTACTTCCAGGTATGTACTGTCAAAAGCCAGGGGCCTAGGCCTCAGTGACATGGCCCCGTGGGAATTTCCAACCAATTGACAGGTTTTCCCTTCCTCTCCCTGCAGAAGGATATGGCCCTGAAGCCACAGGAGCGGAAGGAGAAATGGGAACAACGTCGCCTCTTCAAAAAGCCCCGGGACTCAGAAACCTGTCCATCTGCAGAGCCCAGTGAGAACAGACAACCCCTGGAGGCGGACAGCCCTGGGCAGGACTTGGAGCCCAGCTGTGAAGGAGGGGCCAGGAAGGTCCCCTTGCAACCCTCTAAGCAGGTGAATACCTGGTCCCTCCCTACCTCAGGAACTCTGCAGCCAGGTCTGTCCCCAGGCCACACCAGCACCTGGACACCACCCGTCGGCACCTGGGCATGCCTGGCAACGCACTCCATCGTTGTTGGGCTCAGGGTGTGGGGCACATGTGGAGGGGCACTGGCAGAGAGAAAGGAGCTGGGCTCCTGGTTCATGGAGGTGCAGGGACTTGCCCAGGCCTCTGCTGCTGAGAGGCCGTGGGGAGGGTGTGTGCTGGCCGGGTGGATGACAGTGCCAAGCTGATAGGCCGGCCCCGTTTCCCGCTGCGTCTGTCAGGTTCCGCCGACTACGGGTATCCAGGGGTGTCCAGCGTGTCTGTAACGAATATGGGGACCAGGCTTAGTGCTGAGTGTTCTGCACAGGTAGCACCATCTGCCAGACTGTGGCATGGGGGCAGGGAGTGCTCAGCCACAGGACTGTGGCAGGTGGTCTAGGTGGAGGAATGACCAGGAGACTGGGCCACCACCCCCCAGGCCTTCCTGCCTGGCTGGGGAAGGGCCTGTCAAAGCAGGTGGATGCTGGCTGGGTCTGCCCTCGGTCCTGGCTCAGCTGCAGTTGCACCCTCCCGGGGTCCCTGGGTCTGCGCCTTCTCAGTGTTTTGGGCTCCGCCTGAGTTCCTTTGGGAGTTGGGCTCTGGAGAGAGAACAGCATGCCTCAGGGGCCTGGGCTGGATGGGGGGGTCTGCAGGCACACCTGCCCAGGTGGACACGTGCTCTTTCTTCCATGCAGGTGTGCTCCCCAGAAGGGGGGCCGCTCCCAGCTAACCCCTGGCACCAGAACGGCCCGGCCCAGCACCAGCAGCAGCTCCAGCCCAGCCAGCCCGACCAGCCCCAGGGGCCCCCCCCAGCCCCGTGTCAGCGCTGCCAGCCCCGTCGGGCATCCCCGGACCCTGGGCAGCCCTGCCCACCCCAGCGGCCACCCTCAGGCCAGCGCAGCTGGCCCCAGCGGTCACTTCTGGGCCTGAGACAGCCCTCCCAGCCCCGGCGGTCACTTCTGGGCCCCGGTCAGCACCGCCAACCTCAGCGGCTGCTTCCAGCCCCAGATCAGCTCTGCCAGTCCCAGCGGTCACGCCTGGCTCAGCCCTACAGGCCTCATTGGGCACTGCCAGGCCCCAGGCAACGCTGCCGGCGCCTGCGGTCCCTCCTGGTCCCATGGCACCGCTGTCGGCCATTGCGGTCTCCCCTGGCCCCGTGGCACCGTTGCTTGCCACGGCGGACCCTATTGACCCCATGTCACCTCTGCCGGCCCCGGCAAGCCCTGCTGAACCCTTGTCACCTCTGTCGACCCCTGTGGTCCCTGCTGAACCGGCACTGCTGCCGGCCTCTGCGGTCATGGTCCACCCCATGTCTCCATGGCCAGCCCCATAGGGCTGCCTCAGGACAGTGCCGCCGGCCTCTTCGGTCCCCACTAGCCCAGTGCCAGCGGTGCCAGCCCCCACGCTCACTCCTCATCCCACGCCGCCGGCCCAGCAGCTCCCTCTCATGTCGGTGCTGCTGCCCCCGGCGGGCACTCCTAGCCCCATGTCAGCGCAGCCAGCCCCGAAGGTCCCTCCTGGGCCAGCCTGACCGCCCCCGGCGGTCTCTTCTGGGCCTCAGACAGCCCCAGCAATTAGTCAAATCTGCAGAGCCAACTGGGCCTCCTAAACCTTCCCTGCTGGGCCCTGGACAGCCATGCCAACAGAAGCGGCCACTCATGGGCCCAGAACAGCCCCACCCTCCCCAGCGACCACTCATGGGCCCAGAGAAACCCTGCCGGCCCCTGCGGTCACTTCTCGGTCCAAGCCAGCCCTGCAAACCCCAACCCTTGCTTCCTGTCCCCACTCGTCCTTCACTGCTGGGGACACCAGGCCCACCCCGTCGGCCTCTCCTGGGGCCCCTCTGTCAGCCACGGCGGTCCCTGCTGGATCTAGTGCCAGCCCGTCAGCCCCAGCCTTCACCCCTGGCTCTGGGCCATCCCTGCCGGCCTCCAAGGTCACGGTGGACCCGGTCCTCTGCCCCAGGAGTGGCCCGCCAGGCCCCCTCTGTGAGCCCTGGAGCCTGATGCCAAGTAGCTCCCTGGATGAATTTTCCAGTCACCCTGTGGCTGCCCTGGTGGGGCCTTGCAGGCCTGGATGCTGTGCCGGACTGGCCTGAGGCCTTTTCCAGACAGGCCTGGCTGACTACTGTTGGAAACGGAGGCTCAGCCAGAGGCAGGAGGAGCCCTGCTATGCCATGATCAGGTCAAGCAAGGCCATCGCAGCAGGAGAGAGGAGACCTGGCCTTTTACATCACTTCATCGCACCCTCCCCTGCTGGTGTCAAGGCCTCCTGGTGTCGTGGTGACCCCCACATGTGTGCTGCTCTGTGATGTGCGTGCCCTGGGAGGAGGCACACAGCCTCCTGAGGGCTTGGAGCCTGCTGGTCCCTCAGCCTTTCTCCCTGTGCCTCTAAATTGCCAACACCGTCTTTGCATCTCTGAGTCTCCATCACGTGTGCAGCTGTGCGAGATGTGCATGTGTGCGTGCGTGTGGTGTGCAGGTAGGCTTGTGTGTGCTCTGTGTGTCTGGGCGTGTGTGATGGGGTGCCAGCCACAGGCTTGCTCCCATGGGGCCCGCCCTGTCCGGCCAGTGTGCATTCCCTGCCCCCAGGCAGAAATTCCTAGTGATGAATTGGTCAAGATGTGGGTGGCCAAGTTTTGGGGCCCAGCCCCCTCCTTTGGCAATCAGGTGACGCTAGTGTCCACTTGAGGGTCCCCAAGCTGCAGGAAGGACACACAGGGGCTGAGACCCAGGGGAAGCCACCCCATTCCTCAGGGTTCTGCCTCCACTCAAGTGGGGGCACTGCTAGGGGGCCACTTGGGTCTCCAGGGAGAGCTGCAGTGTCCAGGGCAGGTGGAGAACCCACTCTCTGGGCCCTTCTTGCTCTACCCCAGCAGCATTCTGTCAGCTGCTGGCTGCCCCAGTTGACAGATCTCACACTACAGGGCTGTTTGTGGACCCCGCCCCTCCTGTGGGGCCCCTGACCCGAGGCCTCTGACCCCCATCTCACGGCAGCTCTGCACTCAGGTCTCCTGGAGTCCCAGGGGAGAATGAGCCCCATGAGGGAGCTTGTGTCCCAGGAGGGAGGAGCCTGGGCCCTGCCTGTCCCAGGCCTTGGGGAGCCCAGGGAGCTAGCTGTGGCCAGCCTACTGAGGCCACCTCAGGGTCCCCTGGGCCAAGAGTGGGCTGGAATCACCTGGCGCACAGCCACCTTGTATACCAGCCCCATCTGCGAGGAGGAAGGAACAGGGATCCCCTTGTTCCAGGCCAGGCCTTCCACCAATGCCGAGCCTTTCCCCTGCTCAGGAGGACCCTAGCTGCCTGCTGGGTCCTTCCAGGGCTGCAGCCTGCCGCCTCGCCAGCCAAGGTGGCTCTGAGCCCCACCTGCCTGGGCAGGCCCCCTTCCTGGTGCTTACCTAGGGCTTTCACCCTGGAATTCCAGGCTTATTTTTCTGATTAAAGAAAATAAAAGTACCATGCTATTATTTTTTATAACAGCATTCGTGTTTGTAATTTAAATAGATGAGCGTGTGTCTGATCCCCACGCGTGCTCTTCCCACATCTGGACTTGCTCTCCACCCATGAAGTCCCCAACGGGGGCACACCTGTCAGGCCTGGCCAAGGAGGGGTTGCCCTGGCTGTGTCCCCTTGTGGGTGCTGTGGTGCCCTGGTCATGGGCAGGGTGAGGAGCCATCTAGGCTAGGGAGTAGGGGAATCCCATGAGGGCAGAATCGAGGGTCCTCTGAAGCTGCCCTCACATGGCCAGTGCTTTGGGGGGGGGGGTCAGGATCCAGGGGGAGCAGCCTGTGGTGCTTTACCCACCTGTGTCTGCCTAATGGGTTCTGCATTCCCTAGGGGGCAGGGAACCCAGGGTTCCAGCCCTGGCCCATGGCCGGGACAAGCCTAAGCTGGACTCTGCACATTTCATGGTAGGCCAGGGAGAATTTCTCTCTTGGTATAATCACCTGCAAAGTTGCCCTGGCACCTTCCGCTGCCCTCAGATGCCTGAAATGCCTCCTGGTGTCCCCTGACGTCATGTGCTAAGGGAGTACTAGTTTGGACCACCTTCCCGTCAGAAAACCCACAGCTCCTCACTCTACTGTGAGGACACGGGGCTAGAGGGGTCTGAGCGAGAGAGAGAGAGAGAGAGAGAGAGTGTGTGTGTGTGTGTGTGTGTGTGTGTGTGTCTGAGCCTTGTCCTGCCTGCAGGCAAGGGAGGCGCCACTGCACTCTCAGGGCCTAGCTGGGCCAGTAGCACTGCAGGGAGAGGATGGAGGTCACACCAGCAGAGCTGGCAGTCAGTGGACACTCACTGAGGGAGCACCTGGGCTCCCCTTGAACCCAGAGGACTCACAAAGCTTGGGCCTGACCTCCAGTTTCAATAGAAGCCTCAGGTCCAGACTGCCACCACAGGGAGGGCCCAGCTGCCACCCAGGGGCCATGCCACATGTGTGTGTCCTTAGGGAGTGGCTGCCACCACTGTCCTTGAGCACACAGGTTCCACGCCACTGGGTCTGGCATTTCTGGGCAGCTGGAGACCCAAGTTTTCTGTAGATTTGGCAATTTCAAAGTGTTGGTGGCAGATTCTAGTTTCCAGGACCCATCTTGCTGACTGAGGGAGGACACAGCTATGCAGGGCTGCTTGTCCTGCAGCTGGGTGTGGCCTTAGGTGAGTGGAGCTGGTTCTGTGGCTTTGGGGGTCTTGGTGCTGTGGGCTGCAAAGGCAGTGGGCATGGCCCACCCTGAAGGTTGTGGATGGTGTGAGTCTGGGGCATCAGTGGGCATCTGAACTAACTGAAAGCCCTCCAGAGAGGGGAGACTGGGCACAGGGCCTGAATGGCCATCAGCATTAGTCACCCAGCATAGGGAAATGCGGTGTGGCCCTCCCTGCCCCAGGAGAGGTGCTGTGGGGAAGGGTGTGGGTTGGGGAGGCCAGTGGAGTCCTTGAT